TCAATATTTTCTCTAATTATCATTACTGGTCCAGTTTTGAGGACTTTAGTTTTCTTTACATTGAAGTACAATTCTAGGTTCTTTGGTCCCTAGGCCTAGAATGATATAGCTAAGGATGTACAATAGTCAGTCAACTTGTAATTCTATCAAAGCTTGTCTTAAATTGTGTCTCATTGCCAAAAGTATATTACAATACTCAAATCTATCTACTTATTTTCACCATAACTGCCATTCTGGGTAAAATTATTATCAAATTTTCTTTAAAATATTTTATAACATCCCAATATTGTTGTTGTTGTTAGGCGCCATTGAATCATTACTGACTCATAGCGACCTTATGCACAGCAGAATGAAACACTGCCCGATCATGGGCCAACCTCACTACTGTTGCAACGCTTGAGTACATCAATGCTGTCACTTGACCAATCCATTTCGTTGGGGGTCTTCCTCTTTTTCTCTAACCCTCCACCTTACCAAACATGATATCCTTCTCCAGTGACTGGTCCCTCCTGACAATATGTCTGAAGTATGAGAGACGAAGTTTGGCCATCTTGGCCTCCAAGGAGCACTCTAGCTGCACTTCTTCCAAAATGGATCTATTGGTTCTTTTGGCAGCCCAAGGCACTTTCAATTCCTTCCTTTCCTTCTTTGCCTCAACCCCAATTTCTTCTGTTTAAAACTTTCAAAATCTTCTTCGTGCTCTTAGCATAAAATCCAGAATCCTTAACAGAACCCACCCTATTCTCTCTGCCTAATGTACCAGGTTTACCTCAAGCCAATTCCTTCTTTACTCTCTGTGTTCTAGCTCATGGAGTGGAATTCCTTCAGTTCTTCTAATGTATAGCACTCCATTCTGTCTTAAGGTATTCACATGTTCACATACTCTGCTTTCTTTGCCTGTAGTGTCACTTTCTCATTTTCTGACAACTATTCCTTTCTTCAGCAACTTCACTCTCATTTATCACTCAAATAATTATCATTTGTAAGGAAGCTTTCTTTGATCCCCTTGGACCAGATCAAAAGCCTTCACCATGTGTTTTCATGCTGTTGTTAAGTGCAGTTAAGTTAGTTCTGACTGGTAGAGACCCCTATGTACAACAGAAGGAAACATTGCCTTGCGCTATACCGTCATCATGATTGTTGTTACATCTGAGCCCATTGTTGCTGCTATTATATGAATCCTCAATTGGTGGTTTTGCTCTTTTTCACTGAGCCTCAAATTTTCTAAGCATAATGTCCTCCAGGAACGGGTCCTTCCTGATAACATATCCAAAGTACGGGAGATGACATCTCACAAGCAGCACTTCTAATGATCATTCTGGCTGTACTTCTTCCAAGACATTTGGTTGTTCTTATGTTAAAGTATTTACTGATGAAGATCAAAGAGCAAAGCCTTTAGTATGGATTTCAGCTCAATGTAAAGAAAACGAAAATCCTAACCACTGGGCTAATAAAAAACATTCTTATCAATGGAAAAAAGATTGAAGTTGTCAAGGACTTCATTCTTCTGGATCAACTATCAACACTCATGGAAGCAGCACTCAAGAAATCAAACGATGTACTGCAATAGACAAATCTTTTGCACAAGACCTTTTTAAAGTGCTGAAGAGTACAGATGTCAGCTTGAGGGTTAAGGAGTGCCTGACCCAAGCTATGGTATTTTCAATAACTTCACATGCATGTGAAAGCTGGCGAGTGAATGAGGAAGACCATAGAAGAATTGATGCTTATGGTGTTGGAGGAGAATATTGAAATTACTAATGGCTGCCAAAAGAACCAACCGATCTGTGTTGGAAGAAGTGCAGCCAGAGTGCTCCTCGGAGGCCAGGATGGCCAAACTTTGTCTCTTATACTTCGGACATATTGTCAGGAGGGACAAGCCTCTGGAAAAGGATATCATGTTTGGTAAGGTGGAGGGCCAGAGAAAAAGAGGAAGACCCCCAGGGAGATGGATTTGCAAAATGGCAGCATCATAAAAGGGCTCAACTGTGGCAACAATTGTGAAGTTGACCCAGGACCAGACAGTGTTTGCTTCTGTTGTATATAAGCTTGCTATGAGTGGGTACCGACTCAATGGAATTTAACAACAACATGTAAAATCCATGGTACTTTCAATATTTTTCACCAACACCGTAATGCAAATGTACAGATTTTTCTATGGTCTTTAGAGAAACCTATGGCACTGTAAGATAAGCACTGGACTCCTAACCACAAGTACAAGTTTGGTGGTTCAAACCCACCAACTGCTCCTTAGACACCTTATACAGGGTAGCTATGAGTCAGAACCTACTTTGTGGCATTTAACAACAACATATTTCTCCTTTGGATCACTTAATACCAAGTGTAATTGTGCATTTGATATAACTTGATGAAAATTTTTTGCCTCCACTACAGTGCAAGCTTGGTCAGGCAAGGGCAGTACCTATTTCATTCAACTCTCTTCAGAATCAAACTGTCAGCACATTTTAGATGTTTGATACATAACCTATGTCTTAAATGAAAATAAAGTTATTAAGTAAAATAAGGAATATAATTCTAAGAAAAGTATTCTAAGCAAAGACAGGAAGATTTCAAGAGATCCATTTTTAACATGAAGATTAACTGATAGGACAAAGTGTATAAGGCACAAAGAAAAACAGCAGAAAAAGTAATTCATAAAACTTTGTTTTGCCATTCTGAAAATTTCATTAGTCCGGCACATTCTTTTTTCTAAGTTTTAGGAAGATTCCTATCATCTCATCATCTAATGTAGCGTATTCACTGGGTATGATAAATAAAATCTAATGCCTTGAAAAACTAATGAGAGATGGTAGAGCATTGTCCATTAGGAGGCAAAGTAAGAAAAGAGGAAGAAACCATCAGAGTTACAAAAATATTGTAAAAGTAGTCTGGGTGGGAGATGGTAAATAGACTTTAATGAACAGAAGAAATTCTGATATGCACTGTTAAAAAGGTCCTAAAACAGACAGAAGGAAATCTTAAGAAGAGATATAATGCAAAAGTATTGCTTCACAAATAAAGACAACAATTCAATGAAATTCAACATATATTCATTGAGTTCCTCCTGAACAATTTTGTGTAAGGAGTTACATTTCTGAAGGTGATAACCTTTATTTCCCAGAAAATATATGTATCTTCTTTATAATACTTTTATTCTCCATATTGCAAACACTATCATTAACAAATAATTTAATTTTAATCATTTATAATGATAGGTTTCACCTTCAACAAACCCAAAAGAAAAACAAACAAACAAAAACCAAACCCGTAGCCATTCAGTCAATGTGTAGTGATAATTACACTATATAGTGTTTTCAAGGCTATAAATTTTATGGGAGCAGACAGTGTCATCTTTTTCCCACAGAGCACTGGTTGGTCTGAACTACTGCCCTTGTGGTTAGCAGTACATTGCTTATCCTACAGTGCCACCAAGGCATTTAAAAACTAAATATAATATATCTGAATCAAACTATGCAACTTTTAACATAAAGTATTTAACTTTCAACGTAAAGTTACTTTTGTTTCCAGGAAACTCTGTAATGATGGTTTAGAGAGGCCTTATGGAATCCTGGTGTGCTACTAAAGAATAAGTACTCAATCGTCCTTTTTCTTCTTAGAAACCCTGTACAGGTTCACTATGAGTTGGAACCAATTCGATGGCACTTAACAACAATGTGGTAGTTTAGGGAACAAATCAATAGCAAGCACAAGCTCTTCTTTGTGGAGATGCAATATTCCATGACCAATACACTGTTTAAGAAACTGTGTTCTTGATTATTACAATGTTGAAACATTTCACGTATTTTCTTTACCATTTTCTGTTTGACTCTCATCCTGTATGTCAGGTTTTATGAATGCAACTCAATATTATCTGATGTCCTCAGAGAACATTGTTGTTGTGTATGCCATTAAATCAATTCTGATACATAGTGACCCTATAGGAGAGACAAGAATTGCCCCATAAGTTTTTCAAAGTTGTAATTTTTATGGGAGCAGATCACCTGATCTTTTCTCCCACAAAGTGGCTGGTGAATTAAACTACTGACTCAGTTATCAGCTAAATTCTTAGCCATTAATCAAGTTGTGCTGTGAAAGTCCTGGTGTGGTGTTATAAGATCAGCACTGAACTGCTAACCACAAGGTTGGCTGGTCAAACCCTATGCATGTCACGAAGACTCAGAACTAACTCTATGGCACTTAACAATTGCCTTTTCTAAAACAAACTGGCAATACTTATTTACTTTTCAGTTGCAGATATTTCATGGGAAATATTTTAGAGATTTTCATGGATTTGTTCGATTTTCAGATGACTTCTTAGCTTAAAATACACTAGTGCACCAGGTTATACCACCAGAGATCAGTAAGTACAAGGGGTAGAAGGGAATGTCTCTCCTATTCATTAAGTACTAAGTTAGTTCCACAAATCTAATGATATATGTTGCCTTATTATGGTAAAATTGTCTGCAGCGGCAAGACGCACACACACAAATGCTGTACCTGATAGGTTCTTTGTTGATACATGCTGTCAAGTTGATTCCAACTCACCCTATATAGGGTTTTCAAGGAGTGGCTGGTGAATTTGAACTGTTTGTCATTCAAACTGACCTTGGGATAGAGTGCTTATTCTACAGTGCCACACCATGACTCTGATAGGTTCATGAGAATTTTGGAATTTCTATTGGGGGGGAGGGTCTCTCTTTCCCCATTAAAATTTGACAAAAATGTCTGACTTAAGTGGTAGGCATATTAAAGTTGGCTATGAATGAAGGAGGACTACTTATGTAGACTACTTATGTAGTGTTGTAGGATAAACACTGGCCTGTAAACCACAAGGTTGGCATTGAAATCCATAATATTCTCCTCGGGAATCCCGTACACAGTTTCTATGAGTCAGAATCTACCTGATGGCACCTAACAACAGCAAGAATGCAGGGTCAGTTTTTGCACTTCTTAAATTACCACTGATTCTGATAACAGCTCTGCAAACAATTCCACCATAATCAGGCAAGCTTTACCCTTAAAGAACTAAGTACATGGTCTCGAATTTTTTTGGTCCTAATCCCATAAACAATGGGATTTAGAAAAGGAGGCACCAAAAGGTACATATTGGCAATGAAGATATGAATTTGGGGAGCCACATTGTGGCCAAAGCGGTGGGTGAGGAAGGTAAAGACAGCTGTAGAGTAGAAAACGAGGATGACACAGACATGAGAGCCACACGTGCCCAGAGCTTTAAGGCTGGCTTCCCGTGACGGCAGACGAAAGACTGCGCGGAGGATTAGGACATAAGAGACAGCAATGAAAAATCCATCACAGGAACCAATTACGGAGGCCACACTGAGGCTGTAGCGCTTGGTAGCTCCTGTGTCCACACATGCCAACTTTATCACAGCCATGAATTCACAGTAAGTGTGGGCAATGATTCGACTCTTGCAATAGGGCAACTGCTTGAGCAGAATGGGGTGTGGGCAAAAGAAGGCCACTCCTCGTAGGACCACAGCAGCTCCCATTTTGGCAATGCGAGTATTGGTGAGAATGGTGGTGTGGCGCAGTGGGTCACAGATAGCCACATAACGATCAATGGCCATTGCTAGGAAGAAACCCGATTCCATGGCAGTAAAGCTGTGAATGAAGAACATTTGGGTTAGGCATGCATCAAAGGCAATGTCATGGGCTCCAAACCAGAATAGACAGAGCATGCGTGGTAGCGTAGATGTGGAGAGGACCAAGTCAGTGACAGACAGCATGCACAGAAACAGAAACATTGGCTCATGTAGGCTTCGCTCTGCCCTCACCACAGCCAGGATAATCACATTCCCCACCACAGCCACCATGTACATGGAGCAAAATGGAATCCCAATCCAGACGTGGAGGTGTTCCAGTCCTGGGATGCCCAACAACACAAATGTCATAGAAGTTGGATAAGAAGTGTTGAGAAGGAGCATTATGTTTTGCTTGATTTGTTTTCCTTTGTTTTCTGTTGTTCCCTCCAATTATAAAGTTATTATGCCAAGATGATGACAATCAGGTTCTGAAAAACAGCAGTCTTGTTCAGGAGGACCTTTAATGTTCTGTTGCTTTAAAAAAAAAAAAAAAAATTCACATTCATAATAAATTCACCATTGTCAAATTCTATTACAACTAGTGACCCTAAAGAACAGAGTAGAAGTGCTCCATTTCTGAGACTGTAAATCTTTAAGAGAGCAGATAATCGCATCTTTCTCCTGACAAGTTGTTGATGGGTTTGAACTGCTACCTAGTGGTTAGCAGCCCAATCTATAACCCACTGTGCCACCAGGGCTCCCTAAATTCATATTATGTGTATCTAAATACACTAAGGAGTCCTGGTGTGGCCCTATCAGTTAATGTGCTGGACTATAAAGTCAACTTGGACAGAAAGGTAGGCAGTTCAAGTTCACCAGTTGCTCCTCAGAAACCCTGTACAGGGTCGCTATGAGTCAGATGCTGACTCAACTGCACTTAGTAACATTTTGGAGTCTTGGCGTGGTGCTGTGGGTTAATGTGACCGACTGCAGAATTGTTTGAACTGCAAGGTTGGAGGTTCAAGCTCATCAGCTGCTCCTTGGAAACCCTATACAGAGTCGCTATGGGTCGGAACCGACTTGATGGCACTTAACAACAAATACACTAAAACCAATTTATTAAAATAAATAGCATATTGAGTCATTGTGTTCAGATATGCTGACAGTGCATGTATCATTTTATGTTATCATAGGGAGTGTATCAGTCACCTTGCCCACTTATTGCTCACAAAAAATGTTTTCAATAGTCACCTTTGTCCTTAATTCAACAACTATTTATAAGCAATTACTATGTAGCAAAAAGAACATATCCAGATCAGTCATTAGGTACAATGCTATAAGTGATAGGATAATATCCATGCGCCTACAGGGAAGCCCAGTTAATACCACTATTATTCAAAT